ATATATATATACATATATATATATATATGTCGTGATTTTATTAAATGTACTATTTTTTAATATTGTCATGACCAATCTTGTTTATTAGAGATTCTGTATGAGATACATTATACATAATAATAATGACTGTTAATTATTTCATATATTTGTTTAATATTTGGATGTATCTATATTCTATATGTACCAATATGTATTACTATGTTTGTATTAAAATGTATGTAAGTGCCAATTTAATTTGTAAAAAACATTTAATCGTTGCTTAAACGAATAATATACGAAATATCAACGTTATTTACACCAATGCTTTGCCATTTTTATGTCTTTGCTTTGGCACATATTATTGGTAGGCCGTAGAAAAATATGATTAAAAATTAACGAAAAAAAAGTGAAAACCAAGCGTATCTAAGTATTCTTGGTACGACCTAGATAGGTTAGTATATGATATACCTACTCACGTGCTCGTCGAAGAATGCCTAAATAAAATAATACAAATTTACTAGGAACAACACAGGTAATACAAGGTAAAACATACTTTGAAAGGTATGACAGAACGCTTGCTGTACACGTGCCGGACTACTCGACCGAATCTATTATAAGTTGTTACCCAAAAAAATAGTATACTTCCGATCAGTCAGTTGATGTAGAACCGGGTGACTTGCAAATTACAAAAGTAACCAAGTTTCAAGTGATTTCTATAACATGGTAAAGTTGCTCGAACGTATTAAATTGAATGTTTTTTTCTGTCGTGTATTTGGATTGGGATTTCAACTAGAAAACTCAAATATAGCATTTCTCGAGTATTGGCTGTTATTTATAATCAACGGAATCTATACCATATACTATGTATTTCATAATATTTTCATTATGCGATACACTTTGTACGAAAATATGCCAATTATGGATGTGATGTCGATATTGACCATAATTCGTTTCTACATGAGGTCTTTTGTTCCAACATTAGCGATAATCTCGATATTTTTATCCAAAAATTATATAATCAAATCAATACAATCATTAGACGACCTAGTGCCATCGATTGACCAGACTTCGTTGTCGTTATATTCGCAGTTTTTCTACGGCTGGATTTTTTGAGCGTTGGTGTAGATTATTTTAGTTTCGTTGTGTTTCGGTTAACTTCGAGTGCCTTAATGTACACTCATTTCGAAGTGTTCACCCTTGCGGTATTTAACATTTGGATATCCATACCACTGGCTCAATACACAGTTCTGATTTTGTTGATCCAAAGCGGTATCCGAAGTGTAAATGATGATATAACGTCGTTAAAAAAATGGAAATCGTGTCGGACAAGATGGAAGAAATTAAAAAACTTGGCCGAATACCTTACCAATTCCGTGTTCGGGTTTGTCATCGTCGTCTACGTTATGTACAGTTTGGGTGAAATATTTTTCTTCGCGTATATCTCTATTAAGGAAACTAGGAAACACCTTGCATGTGTTTTTGTATTAACGGCCTTCAATCGAGCAAGATTCGTCGTACAATTATTTCGGATTTGTCATAGCTGCAAAACGGTGGTACTATGTTTCACTATGCAACAATAATGTTAACAACACAAAAAAAAAAAAATGTTTTTGACAGAACTGCAAAATCCTTTTTTTTAAATTATTAAACTAACAAAGAATGTCCTATTATTATTGGTTTTAAAACATAAACCATACATGTAAAACTAACATGTAAAATCTTTATCTTTTATGTAAAATCTATAAACTCGCTATAGCAATATAACACAGTTATCAACGTTTACAGGTATTAAGAACTCGAGAGATCTGATACAGAAGCAGTAAAAATATTCATGCTTAGTTTAAAAATTATGTTCAATTATACTGTGTGTATGTACAACACAAACATGCCTATATATTATAGCATTAACTTGCTGTTTTTAGGTACAGAATGCATTACTATACATATTACATACAGATTATAAACTCATGTCATGTAATATTTTTGAATTGTCATTTCCACAATTACTGAATGTAAGTAAAGATTTTTAAAATATTTATATCATAAAATTTTAAAAATCGTATTATATTTGTAATATTTTAGATCTTCACAGTGATTTTTGTTTTTGTATTATTTCAAGTTCAAATGAAACTATTTGATAAAACAATCAATTAAAAAAATAAGTGACAACTAATAATATGAAAACGATTATTATAAAACAACTAAAATATTGATTTATATAAAAATATTGTACTGTATAATTTGTTTTTATATGTTAATTAACTTCGTTCAAACAAAAATTTAGTTATATTTTTTTGGGGGTTTTTTGTTAAAAATAAAATACATTTATTACTTATGTTTTTGATTGTTTATTTTTTTTACTTTGTATTTAAATCAACTAACCTACTACACTAACACCATCCTTAAACGAGGTAGTAGGAAAGTATTTATCTATACTCTATAGTGTAAAAATAACAATGAAGAGGAAGAGATAAAAATTACCATAATGAACCATTAAATAAACGTTAAAAAAAACCCGTCGTTCAGTATATTATAACTATAGATTATATTTTGTTACCACAATTGCGAATTATGTTTAACATTGTCACAGGAAGTAACTTACCTGAATATTTCCAAATTTTAGTTCAAATTTCAACAGTAATAAGTCTGTTCTCTACTTCCTACCTAGTAAATACAGCACATGTTATAATAGGGACATAGTAGGATAACTATAGCAGGAAAAAAATTTAACTTCCAGCCAAGTAAACTAAATTTCCATTTTTTCATGACTGGTTTGATATGTCGACTGATTTTATTTGTTGACACCGATGTATAATAAATATATATTACCTTATGGTATTTATTTAGTTCCTATATTATATTACATATTTTAAGGCTTATGGTGAAATACTTTTTTTTTTTTTACTTAGCTACCATTTACACTGAGTTAACGAAGTGTTTTTGTTGGGATATCAGTAGTTTTTTTTTGTATTATTATATAAAAATATAGTATTAACCGTCAGTGTTATCATTAGCAAATTAAACACAAAGACAACACACCACAAGGTATAGCACAATACACAACAATCGCATGACAGTGTAGCTGTAAACATAACAATGGTGGGGGCTCCCCCGATCCGACCCCTCATCGTCATACACAACGCCTGACACCGCGCGGTCATCATAATAATTTTTTTGACTTAAACAAGCATCTCGAAACCTCAGAAATATTGTACTATTTTGCTTGCAGCTAAGAAAGTAATCAACCAATCATTATGTTAATTTACTCGATCCAATCTCCACAACTTTTCCAATCTACTGATATCTCATATGTCCATTTCTGTCCAGCCGTTTGCCCACAAAATTATTACGAAATTTATGGTAAAATTTATTAACCAGAAAAAACTTCATTGTTCCAGAAATTCAACTTATTTGGCACTTACACCTTTATTTTTAGGACTTCTGATATTAATAACCCATAGTTTTAAATTGTCTAACTTTGACCACAATTCATTAAATTGAGTTAAAACATATTTGACATGCGTTGTTTTTACAGAGAATAGAAATTGATCATATCAAAATTAGATCAAGGGATAAAATAAAATAAATAAGCACAAAAAAGTTATTTATATTACTGCACAAACTGGTGTAATTTTTTATAATAAAATAAATGTACTTTTTACACAGAATTCAACCCCAAGGGAGTCTTGGGCACGGGCACGACAACCCCGCGGACCCTAATCGTGGAGTGGGAGCAGGAATGCATACCACACCTATGAGCCTACCTTTACTTTAATTAGTTGAGGTAGGTGAGTATGGGCACACCCGCTTGCGAACAGCAAATCGGCCTCCTCCTAATCCCCAGTACCAAGCTAGGGGATTTACTTGGCATCAGGAGGTAAAGTCAGATGTCTATTGGGAACCTACATGGCACCAGGCGCACCATGTAGTATACAGCCTTGCTGCAACATCGGGCTCTGTTGCGGTCGACCTTTATATCGGATCAGGATCGTGAAATAGTCCAACTTCTTAGAGCAGTGGCTAGACTGGAGTCTCTCAACGCGCAGAAGGACGGGTCCGAGAAATCGGAACCTCTGGAAGGCAAGAGAACTGAGGCATCGGACCAGAAGTCTGAAGACCGACTGGAAGATGTCGCCGACAAGATAGGTGGTCTCCGAATCAAGCCGAAAAAGCTTAGCGGAGCTCAGAAAAGGAAAAATAAAAGGGGGGGGGCATGGAAAACCTTAACAAGGAGACAGTCCCAGGAACCTCAGGCACGGTAGTGACAGAGGGTACGAAAACTGCCAAACCTAAGGTGGAAGACCACGAACCGCCGAAAAAAGTCAAACGCCACGAACCGACATACAGGGACGCAGTGGCCAATGACAAAAAATTAGCTCTTGTCCTAAAGGGCTATCCTGGAAATGGACTGACAAGTGAACAAGGGCAACAGATAGAAACCTGTGTTGCCGACCTAATATTGATGGACCTAGAGGGGATAACAATACCAAGGTTCGAGGCACAAGGATAATTGATGGAGCTCTGATCATCAGTGCAGCGGACAGCGAGACAGTAAAATGGCTCACTGAAAACGTCAATAAAGTCAAACCGTGGGAGGGCGCCGAGATCCAACTGATGGAATCAGCTGCCTTACCACGTCTGATTAAAATGGTGCAGACACCAACAGGGGATGGAGGATAACTGGGACTGGTTTCCGGCAGGTATGCGTAATATAAAGTCTGTTACAAATGATTTGTAAACAAGATCTGTACAAACTACAATTCACGCAAATTAATTTGCATCACAGTAAAGGAGCCACAGACGTTCTGTTGCGGCTATTAACTGAGAGGCATACAACACCTTTACAAATAGCACTTGTTCAGGAACCATGGATAAATGGGAACTAGATAAAAGGGCTAAAGAAAAAGGGTCTAAAACTGTTTTACAAAAACAGTGAAAGACCAAGGTCGTGTATCTTGGTAAATGATAAACTTAATTCTAGCTTGTTACTTAATTGGTCTGGTGCTGACTTGACAGCAATTATGCCAACGCTAGATGATGGTGAGAGAGTAGTTGTAACTTCAGGGTATCTACCATACCAGTCTACGGACCCAAGCAGAGACCTAACAAAGCTTATAAACTACTGCAAACAAGAGAAGTTAGAACTCATTTTGGGTATGGATGCTAATGCTCACCATATTGTATGGGAAAGTAGTGACACCAACCAAAGAGGAGGTAAACTAATGGACTTCTTAATTACAACAAACCTAAGTATACTGAATAAAGGGAGTGAACCTACTTCTATAACCAGGAACAGGAAAGAAGTCATAGATATCACTGTATGTTCAAAAGGGTTAGTTCAGAGAATAGAGGAATGGAGGGTCTCCTCTGAACCTTCTCTGTCTGATCACAGACACATACATCTAGCTCTGAGAGTGGGCAAAGCCAGAACGGAGTTCTATAGAAACCCTAAGCGAACTAACTGTTACGACTACAGAGATGCCTTAACACGCAACCTGGGGAGTTCACAGTATAGATTTGGATCACAGCAGGCTATCGAACAGACCGTAAAAAGCTTCCAGGCAAGTATTGAGTCGGCATATGAGGAAAGTTGTCCCTCGATAGAGAAAAAGGGTCTAGGACAAGGTATCGCATGGTGGAGTGCGCATTTGTCCAAGTTTAGAAAGAGTACACGTAGACTCTTGAATAAAGCTATTAAATCAGATCTGGAACGGAATTGGGAAGTATATAGAACGGCCCAAAGAGAGTACAAATCTGAAATAAAAAGGTCAAAAAGGAGAGCTGGAGAAAATTCTGTGGGAATGTCCACGAACTTCCCACGGCAACAAGACACCTTCGTGCACTAAGGAATGGACCAAGCAGAGTAGTTGAAGGAATTCTACTTAACAACGGTGAATACTCCAGGAGTGATGATGAAATATTATCTCACCTTATGAGTACACACTTTCCGGGTTCAACTGAAGACACTGAAGTAATTGAACAAGTGGCATCGAGGAACTCTGTTTCTCGGGCCGACTGGCAATTATCCAGGAAAGTAGTTACACCGGGAGGTATCAGATGGGCTATTAAGACCTTTGGAAGGTATAAATCTGCAGGTAGTGACGGAATATTCCCAGCTCTCCCACAGGAGGGACTAGACATAATAGTTCCACACTTATGCAGAATTTATAGAGCATGCCTAGCATTCGGATATCAACCGGAGAGCTGGAGGATGGTTAGGGTGGTATTCATACCGAAACCAAACCGCGTTAATTATTATGAAGCGAAAGTGTTCCGACCAATAAGTCTTACATCATTCTTATTAAAGACTATGGAAAAACTTATTGATAGGCATATTAAAGAGGGGCCACTGAAAATATACCCCCTACACAGGAATCAACATGCATACCAAACAGGCAAATCAACTGATACTGCTCTACACAATCTAACAACGAAGATTGGAAGAGCTGTAGAAAGTAAAATGTATGCCATGGGCATGTTTCTAGACATTGAAAGGGCATTTGATAATACACCCTTCGATGCAATGTGTAGATCGGTACTAGAACATGGGGTTGAACCACTCATTAGCAAGTGGATGAAGACTATTCTAACAGACCGATTAATTAAAGGACAACTGAACAGCTCAAAAGCAGTGAGGAGAGTGAGACGTGGGTGTCCACAGGGGGGAGTCCTTTCTCCTTTGCTATGGTGCCTAGTCTTGGGTTCCCTCATAAGTGAGCTGAACGGGAAATGATATGCTCAAGCTTATGCGGATGACTTGGCTATAGTGGTGGAGGGCAATTTTCAGACACCATTATGGACCTGTCTCAACAAGCTTTAAACACGGTGCACAAGTGGTGCAGCAAATATGGCTTAGCTATAAATCCAAGTAAAGCTGAGATAGTCATGTTCACAAGAAAAAGATTGGGAGTTGATAATACCAAAACTCTTTTACTTAGTGGACAAGAAATAAGTTGCAAACCAGAAGATAAATACCTAGGTGTAATCCTGGACAAAAAACTAAACTGGCGAGCTCAAGTTCAAGATAGGGTCAAAAGAGCAATGGTCACATTGTGGACATGCAGTAGGGCCCTTGGAAGAACTTGGGGATTAAAACCAATAGTAATGTACTGGCTATACACGTCAGTAATAAAACCTATGGTGATGTATGGAGCCTTGGTCTGGTGGCCTAGAACAAAACTAGTAACAGCCAGGAAGGAACTCAGCAGCATACAGAGGATGGCCTGCTTAGCTATCACTGGAGCGACGAGAACAGCACCAACAGTTGCGCTAGAGGCGTTACTGGGCCTACCTCCACTTCACTTGGAGATTAAGGCTCACGCCAAAGGCACTGCATTAAGACTACATAATTCAGGAGACTGGACGAAAAGTAGTGAACTAGTTGAGCATGGGAAAATACTAGAAGGTAAAAGTCAAAAAAACCTAACCTGAGACCACTCTAAATAGTATCCGTAAAAGTATTGGCATGATTTTATAATTTTTTTTTTTAAGATTTAACAACAACACAGTTTTGCAAAAGTTAAAAAAAACTATATTCCCGAATTTTTACTTCGTCTAATATGTCATGAATACATATTATGAATTCTGATTCTTAACTATGGCTTTTCAGTCGTTATTTGTCCATATTCTTTTCCTTTGACTACTTTTTGCGCATCGAAAATTATTCTCAGTTTAAATAGTAAATTAAATAAATACGTTACTATTTAAGTTTCTAAAAGTTGATAGGGTTATGGAAAATAATAAAAAAAAGGTTGATGTTTAGTAGTTTTACAATATTGTAAAATATGGTAACCAAAAATATTTTCAAAAAAGAAATACTAGAAATTTGCGATTATTCTAAGGAAAAACAAGCGACCTATTTTTAAGGAATTATCTTGTACATTTATATACATATAAATACATTTACATGTATATTTATAAATATATATATATAAATATGCCTCACGCCGTGGGATTCTAATACCATTGGACTTATTGGTTCGTCTTGGCCTAAAATGAGGTCCCTAATTTTTTATAATTTTCCCACTAATTTTAAAGTTGTCGCTTTCTTAAATATTTTTCGATAAGCATTTTTAAATTGTAAATTTTTTTTTTATGGACACTAAAAAAACTACGTTTTCGTCATAGTTTGAAAATGAGATGAGTAATTTCACTGCTAAATCAAAAGAAAAATTAAATTTTATCAAGCCAAAGTATGTTTTTCTTTATTTTTTTTTACTGCATGTAACAATTTTTTATATTAATTACATAGACATTTATTTGTTTTTTTGAAAATTTATCTTTACTCATTCCATCATAAAACTATGATGAAAGCATTTGGTTTTAAAAAAAGTTTTATCAATTCTAAAAATGCCCCAATTGCTTTGTATTCCACTCAATTTCTAAATATTTAAAATAGCGGTGATCATAAGAGATGGCAAATACGAACCAATAAGTCATTAATAATAAGACTATGACATTATTTTAATTGTTAGAGAGTGAGGGTTTTGTATAATTTCGCACATTGGCACTTGTGTTTCAAAAGTAAACAAAGATTTGAAAATATGATTTTCTATGGAAGTAATATTTATCGAATTCTCGCCTAAGCGTTAACTCGAAAACACAATTTTTTTTTATTTCAGAAAAACACTTTTGGTGCTTTGGTGTGCGTTTCCATTTCCATTGTTTACATAAATGAAAATATACGAATCGTTTTTTACACGTTTAAAAAAAATGTTGTGTTATTTTATGTGCGTTTTTATTTTCGCTGTTTACATAAATGAAAATATGATAATCGTTTATATACATTTTTTTGCAAGTTCAAAAGACTGTAGACATTATTAAGATACCCATATTGAACTTGCAATATATCATATTGTACACCTAACATCGACAAATTCAAGGTTTTAAGAAATACATGGCCAACCCAACTTATTGACGAATTTCTGGAAAAAAGAAAAAATTACAATTTATGTGAATCATTTTTGGTTTTTTTAGTTCCCATGCTCCACCTGATCTGCCATTCTTCTTTCAATCTTCTTCCTAGAATAAGTGTTATCTGAGCCGGATCCATACCCTGTCTGTGGAACCCCCTTTTGCTGGACTGAATTCCTGCTAAGAGTGTACCATGGAATAACGTGGTTTTTGGTAAAAGTGGTGTCATCCCATTTTTCGTTATGATAACCGGTGTCGATTTTTCCGTTTATGGGCCAAAGCAAAGACATAAGAATGTCAAAAGCCAGACAAAATTTTGACTATTTAGGATGGTCCGATTTCAATTCGTACGAGTTCTTTAGCAAGTTTACTAGGTTATGTTGGAAGCGGATTTTTAAATTTTTTTATGAAAAAAAATTGTCTTTTAATATCGGAAAATTGTAAATTTTGTTTATTTGATTACAAGAAGCTGAAAACGTTTGCCTATATAAAATAGTTAAGTAGCCAAAGAACTCGAATCTCTTTACAGAATTTAAATTGGACCATCCAAAGTAGTTGAAATTTTGGTCTGAAATAAGCCAAAACGACTTTAACTCATAGGAAAAATTATATAAATTAAAAATAGTACCTTGAAGCTTATACTAATTAAACGGAAAATTAATTAACATGGACGACATTTTTAACCCTTTGTTGTGTTAAGAACCCCTTAATATTTTCTTGTGTATAATTGTATGGTGTATAAAACACACATATTGTAACGGTCACATTTAGCCGCCCGTTACCACTCGCCTCCAAATATGCATTATTAGCAGTTTACCCCGATTAGCATGTAAGCCATTATAGGTAGGGGAGACAACAGACACACGGGACAATGCCAGGGGCACCGATGCCCAGTTAGTTGACATACTACCATCTTCGGACCGCGACCTAATTATTCTAAAGCCATTACCTATATTTCACGTTACATTACTATTTTATATTTCTTTTAACTTTACCCGTACTCGTGTGTCCGTTCAACTCCGCCATTACCTGAACTAACTACAGAGAACGCTTTAGGATCCAGGTAGAGGTGTAATATATATGTACATAGCTTTACTTATTTAATAAACCTGTTTTCGTTTCGTTGCACACTTGAGAGTTAAGTTATTTAGAGGTACGATCGCCTGTTAAGCTCCTCAGGCGATATAGCAAATATACAAAGGAGACTTTAGGGATATTTAAGTGTAGATACGGCCTAGCCATCCGTCCCGTCTTCGGGTCCACTAATTTAACCCTATCGACTGTCGTTTCAGCCTAGCCTAGCCAACTAGCCAAGCAGACACGTTACAATATGGTCGTCCGATTACTGTCGGCGGACAGGAATATGCTGACCAAAGGGTTTTAGCGTGAGACCCGACTAACGTCCCCCGTTATCCGGTGCCCTGTCGTTAGTCATAATTCTACTATTCACTTGTGTTGTTCTACGTCTTAGTCCTACATCTTAAGTTAAACCATACTATTTAATATTGTTGTTTAATGTTATTCTATGTCTATCGTGTAACTAACATTATTTTTGTTGCGTTAATTCTATTAAATCATTTCTAATTCATACGGAAACGAGTGTTGTTTTAACTTATTTACTTTGGTCACCTTGGAGCCCTAGGCCCGGATAACAGTTGCCCGAACAAAGAAAATACCAAATGTCACCAATTTTTTTTTCATAAATTCGTTTAAA